TATGTTCATAAAATACTTTTTCATCGTCTCAGATGAATCAGCCAACGAAATGTTGAAGATATGCATATGAATCTCCATTCCCGCCCACGAGCATTCCAGGTTGACTTACTATTTTGGCCGTCATTATGCATAATCATTGCATCTTCTCGGTGTCGCTGGCTGCGTCCTCGCACGCTGCATCGGTCAGGAACGCGTCGTTTACTTTTATGTTTAATTTATTCTCCGAGGCGAGTTATGCTTTTCGAGACTCGCTCTGGTCAGATTATAAAGAGCGCTTCTGCCCATTGAGTAATCGCCCGAAAGGAGGTGGGTGAAGAGGAGACGCGAGTGGAATCGCGGGATCGAGGATGACCGCGGTTTCGTTAACCTCATCGGCGCTCACCATCTTCCTGGGAAGCCGTAGCAGGGAATTCACCGAGGTCAATGACTCCCTCCCAGTAAAGGAAGATATCTCTTCTCCCCGCGAATTCGTTATTTACAGAAGAGCGGCTCCGGGGACCTCGACTCGGCCACTTCGATGCGGATCTCTTGTACGGCTCGGGGAAAAAAATTCACCTGCAAACAGTCCGGCTGCATTTATACTCTCGCTTGGGGATTATCGGCAGGATTCTAACGTTTTATGGAAATTAAATAACCCGGTGGGTGGCTTCCCGTTATTCCGAATTATGCACGCTGAATTCGAAATCCCGTCACTGGCCTAAGAATGGAATACTCGTGCGCCTTACTTGTAACATTATAACGTGGCGATAAACAAATAGAATCATTGGACAGTGACAAAAAATTTGGTAAGAGATTTTACGAAGCGGTGTCATTGTTATATAGAAGGATAAATATCTCAGATAGAAATTCATGATTATTATATGATGAGGGAAATCGATTTACAAACTATTTCCGGACCATTTCCTGCGTGAAATGCCTGCAATGTATGTACGCATATTGTACAATAAATTTGAACAAAATTTTCCGGCGAATTTTTCATAAATGGTTGTAGCAATATATTTACCGGGTACTTGAGTCATATGCCAGTTATGCCACGAACGACATTTATGAAGTGAAAATTTGAGAGTGAGGACTCATAAGCAACGCCCTCATGACTCATTTCATGATCCTTTGTGAAGCTAATTTGATGGAAGTTTTCCATCACTTTGTCTATCTGGGATTGGAATATTTGTAATGGTACTTTTCATGTTTTAATATTTATTATCTAAGTTAAGAGTATGATCGGTGTAGGGAGTAAGTATTACAACCTTTCGTTATGTTTATGTTTCCTCCCATTAAGAGGGAAAGCTATGCGAGTGCCTGCAGGTTAAGATTTACAGTTTCCTTGGAGAAAAACGAGCCGCAAACGACAGGATGATGTAGTGAGTCTCAGAGCCAAGAAGCTGTAATTATTTCATCTTAATTCGACCTTGCGGCGAGACCTTGATGAAGACGATGATGATGTTTCAAGACGAGTTAGGGAGAAAAATGTAGCATCAAATGAAGAGGCCCGATCTTGATGGGAATTATACGGCCAGGTTATTTCGCCTCGCTTCCTCTTGCGGGTAATTACGATACCAGGGGTATAATTACCGCAGCGATTAGAACGTTTCCCTTATTACAGGAACTGGTAAAATTTCTGTTCCGTCCCGCGAGGAGGGCATCGACTCTGAATTTGCATAAGCGCCTGATTCATTAAGCTGCTCGAACGAAATAACCCGCAGCTTATTAATCATTTCCTTCATACAAAACTTATTGGAAAATTGCATTCATCCATTTATTTATTTATTTATTTTAAATTAGAATATAAAGTCCATACTTTTGGACCTATACGTCTCGGCTTTCGTCCATGTTCTAAATTATAATAAACCAAATATCAAGTGCAAACGAAATTTTAAATTCGGCTCGACATATTTCAGATGTCGGAGTTTTCATCGAATTCACCTCGCAGGATCGAATTAAGAGCGAAGATCTCTGAAGGGCGATGGAGTATTCCGAGCCGGTTGGCCTAAGTGGGACCAGGCTTGCCAAAATGAATAGTTTGCGAGAGGTGTCTTGTAGCAGGACCAGGCTCGATCTTTTTCTTCGTTTCCCTTTGCCCTGCGGTTCGTTTTAAAGGTTCTTCTCGACTCTTTGCCCGGCATTCTTCGCCGAGGTTCCTAGACCGGACACCCGTTGGACGACGAAACGGAGAACCTGGAGAACCGAAACCAATCGAGAGCACGCTGTTGGACATGGCATCGGAGAAAACATCACCGGCTAGGCTGTCCTGAGGAGATTTTCACGAAACTTTGATATTGAAACGACATCCAGGTGACAAATTGCCCGTCGAAGCACCTCGAGCCGCGGCCTTAAGGTCCGCTCTCTTCAGGGTCAACTTCCGGCGCGAGACCTCGAGGATCTGGCCTTATACGTGGCCTACGGGGATTCGAGTCACGATCTCTCCTAGAGGAGAAACATCCATTACAGCAGCCGATCGGCCGGGACTTTTGCCATTGTGGCGTCGTCCGCGGCTAAAGAGTAGCATTCCGCATCACCGCTTTTGGCGAACGTCGAAGAGCCGGGAATCGCACGGCGAGCCGAGAACTCTGAATCGCCGTCGAAGAGCGCCATGTTGCTGGGGAGGAGAATCTCCAGGAAAAGGATTTTTCTCCAGAATCCTCTTTGCAGAGGCGGGTCCCGGGACACGGCGGCTTTGAATTTTTTCAACGAGGAAATGGAGAAGCTTGACTGTTCTTATTCTCTCGGCGCGTCCCGGAATTACGCTGGCTTTTGATGACTGATGGTTGAGGGGAAAATCAAGAATAAAAAAGTTAATCCAGCTTGCAGACGCAAATATCTGTTCTTAAGGGTTTTAGGGTAATCTTGATACTTCCTTATGACATCTCGGTGGAAGGGAACTGAGAATAAAAAGGATTTCTTCCTGGATCTGGTTTTAGGATTCGGCGGTTTTCGGGTGATCCTAAGTTTTTCCTTGTAGGCTCGTAATGGAGGGGAATTCAGGGAATGAAAAAGGTTCTTTTTATTTTCGAAGATTTAGGATGTTGTGGTTAAGGAAACGTGGAGAGAAGATTCCACTTGGTGAAGAGGACTTTCAGAGCAAGCAGCGTCGTTACTCCACTCTTTTTCTCGCGACCTTGGCGACGAAGGGATCCAAGAAAACGAGATCCTCCTTGCGGAGGCAGGTTTCGGGCTTGCGCGGGTTCGGATGGTCCTGGCCTCTTCCTGATTGCCTCCAAGTCGAGGAAACCGGATAATAAAATCGCGGAATGACGCCACCGGACCCGGGGCTGCAGTGGGATTACAGAACGGGCCAACGCAATCACAGGTTTGACTTTTCGTCCCTTACCTCCCCGTTGGAATTCTTTCAGGGGACAAACCCGCGCACTGCCGGACAACATTCCCAATAATTAAAATTATTTAATCGGTCCTGCCGTCCCACTTTTCAATATTATAACAATATTTTTGAACACCTGAAACATTCCACATTCATAAGACATGGTTCCCCCGCATTCTTTCACCTAAGTGGAAGTTATTCCAATCATGGGGTAATTACAGATATCTTTTGTTATTTATTAGCGAATGGTCCCTGCTTTTAGGGACACGATATGCTCTGCTCATTATGCCTGTATCGTGAAAGCCTTCAAATTTCGTCAAGTGGATGGGGGATGTAATGCCCGATAGTGCTCGAACTCGACGTAATTAATTGATCAAGGTAATCTTGTTGGTCTTTTTATTTTTTTTTCTTAACTTGGAGGTAGCCAATCAGCCCTGGGGATTTTATGAGAGTTCAGATTCCCAGAAATAGGACTCGCCTTTTGATATCGATCCTAAGTGGGGTTCAAGACCCGGTATAGTAGGATCTAGATACTGCTTTAATCAGCACCGAGTGCGTAGGAATGGTACACTCTCGGTGTAGCCACTCCTCATCAACTACCATCTGCATTCCACGGTCAATGGCGTCGTTTCGGAATCCGGAAAATGGGAACCAGGGAAAATTTACAGCTTGCCGATCCTGACACTTGGCGTCCGCTGTAACCAAGAAATAGTACCCCATCTCCAGTCTGAAACATCCAGCTTCCCATTCCGGTATCGGGCTAGCAATGAAAGGGCATCCACCGTTTCCTTCAACCACCGAATCAACCCCATCTCCACCGTCAATCTTCAAACCAATGTAACAGTTCTTCTCCTTTATCTAAAAGCACCTATCACGCGGTTCACTGTGCCCCTTGAGGTACACCTTCCCAAGAGCCACCATCAATCCTCCTCCCTCTTCAAGGAGATTATCTCCAGAAAACGTATCATTTAGAACACGATAGCACAAAGTAACGAATACCCGCGAATTCATCAATAATCACGACCCTATCACCTATCACCCCCTACATGGCAAGGAAATTCATTTCATCTCCAGCTCCATCCGAGAACCTAACCCACGAATCCAGAGAATGAGGAAATCCCACCGATTCGCCTATAAAACGTAGTCAGCAGTACAATGTCTCGTATTCTAAGTCCCTCGGTCTCTCATCGTCCACCATCAGCATTCCATCGGCTATTCGGAGCGATGATCCTTCGAAACGGCGTCGAGGAGTCGTTGCGTCCTCCGCGTTCCCGAAACGGCCTGATATGAATATCGTCGGCGGTCTCGGCGAGGTATGCAGGACATACGTGCGAGGAGGTTTGCATATTCGAGTGCCTTGACCAGACCTTTTCGGCAGAGCACAGGTGGGGGACCTGGCGAAGACGTTGCACTTCTTGCGTGCAAGAGGCGAGGTCCTGAGCCCGGGTAATTGGGGTCCTTCGGCTCCTGCGGCCAGTGGTGGGGGCCGCCCTATGTAAGCCCTCGGACGGCCGGGGTCCAGCCCACAGCATCAGGACGCGACCCCAAGGACTCCAAGCGGGCCTCCCTCTCCCGGTGCGATCCTCTCGACTTAACAGGATTACGCGAGGACCCGCCTCTCCAGAGTCTCACGGGGATCCCAACCGAGACCACTGTCGGACCTGCCTCGGCCCTCGGGGACGAAATGTTACGAGCGATACTCATCTGCGCCCTGCCGATCGCCGTGCTCGCGGTCGGCCGCACTTCCCACCGCAGACAAGCGCCCTTTTCTCGACAACCAGAAGGTGAGTACCCGTACTACTACTCCGGGAGTTTGCGAGCGTTCCGGGTGTCTTGACGAGACGAGGGATTTTAATCGGACCTCCGGTGAAGGGGTCGTCGAGGGTGGTCCGGAGACCGCTGGAGAACGCTGGAGAACGCATCGGAGATCCCGCGGCGTGGGCTGAGATCGTGGGCGCGATCTTGAATTCATCTTGACACATCTTTCAGATTAGGGGAAAAATCGAATTCTATGGAAATGGGGCCTTCGATGTATTTTTTATTGTATGGTACATTCTTTTCCGTTTTTCCGAATTTTTTATACGTGTAACCAAGGGTTCTTTCACGTGAGTTCTGGGTCGTGATTGCTAGGTGGTGCTTGACTAGTGCTATGTTATAAATATGAAAAATGTTCGCCAATATTTTTTCTTCGACTATGACAAGTCGGCTCGTGGCAATTTTTTTGTGTGGTGAAGTATGTGATCGCAAAATTGAAGATCGATTATGGAACGCTTTCCGCGATGTGCGCTGATGTTTGAAAAAAGGTTTGAAGTTTTAGAAGGTGGATTGCTTCCATTTTTCACTCGATAACCGACTGTGCATATAATTCTGTTTTACTTGAACGTATTAACGATGAGCTGGAATGTGCATAGCTAAACCTACACCGCCCCCTTTTTTAATTACGAATTCAACTGTATAAAACCATTTTGTGATATATTTAAGGGGTTAGAATGGCTAATGTTTCCTGATGTCATATTTTTAAATATGAAGTTTTTTTATGAAATGTATGGACATGAAGTGAAGGATTGGTTTGGGGAACGGTTTGCACGCTGCGAACCCCAAGCTGAGATAATTTGCTTACCTTTTACTCGACTTTTTGGAACTGTCGACAACTCCTTCGGGAGGAAGAGCTTGTTCAGTGTTGCTAAACACGATGCGACACGGAAGGAGAACGTGCTAAAAGGTTCTCTTAAATTAAGCAAACCTTCTTCCACGTAATATGTCAACTTCACTTTTGTAAATTTACATCCTGCTGTCAGGTGTGCTACATAATTTTGCAACAATTTCCTGCAACATACGTAAATATCTTCACGAGTTCTGCGATCGTGATTTCATATCCTGTTTCATTTTGGTACAATTTTTTTAGGAATCTACTCCTAAATTAATAAAATTAAGCAACCTGATTTCATAAATGAAGAACATTTTTGCTGAAATATTAAATAATTTTCAGTCAGAGGGAGCTGTGATTAGTGTATCCTTGATCGTTCTGTTTTAGCAGCGGAGAACTTCTGGGATCATCGTCTTGGTGCCTGGAAAGATGACACGGTCGTGCAATATCCTGCGGTCGACTCGAATCATCAAGACTTTATAAAACCAGGAAGACAGTATTACCCTCCGCCTGGATCTGGTTACCCAGGTTCAGGTTATCCAGGATCTCCAGGTTCTCCAGGTTCTCCAGGGTCTCCAGGTTCTCCACCTTCTCCAGGCTCCCCTGGATCTCCTGGATCTCCTGGTTCTCCAGGCTCTCCTGGTTCCCCACCTTCTCCGGGTTCCCCGGGTTCTCCGGGTTCTCCGGGTTCTCCGGGTTCTCCAGGCTCTCCGCCTTCACCAGGTTCTCCAGGTTCTCCAGGTTCTCCAGGTTCTCCAGGTTCTCCAGGTTCTCCAGGCTCTCCAGGCTCTCCAGGTTCTCCAGGTTCTCCAGGTGAACCTGGAGAATCTGGTTCCCCAGGATTTCCAGACTCCTCAGGCTCTCCTGAGGTAGGAAACGAGATTCCTCGCCCAATAACCCAACCAACATCCACCGCTGCTCCAGTTTCACCTCCAGGCTGTCTCGCTCCCAGGGGACAGTTTCCCAGCCCCAACTCCTGCGCCAATTACCTAAACTGCTGGGACGACGTGGTGATAGAACAGCAGTGTCCCAACGGGCTCCTCTTCAACGAGCAAACCAGCTACTGCGACTTCGAGCACAACGTCAACTGCGGCAGTAGACCCGAACCGACTCCCAGTAAGTAACTGCATTATTAAAAAAGGTATTGTAATTTTAGATCATTTTTTGCAAATTTCATTCAGACATCGTGTACTAATTTTGCGACATTCTATCCATATATTTCGGTACGCAGGTATCATAAATTTATAACAGATATGTGACGTGTTATAGAATCCTATATTTATTTCGAAAATTTATAATAAACCTGTATTAATTCACTATTAAGACATCAAGTTTATAATTTTACTACGGTCTTAGGTACTAAAAGTGTAGGATATTTTATGAATATTTTTTTAATAATGCAGAACACCTTGAGCACTCCGAACGTTACAGCTCGCAAATTGCACCCCTAATGAATATCTCGGTACACCTCCGGGAGATTTACTACTCCGCTTTCTTTCGGCAGGCGTTTATAAGGTGTTAATGAGCCTAAACGAGGGGAAAGAATTAACGACACGCGAATGGTCTCGTTACAGAACCCTCGTTGCCACCTGGAGCCAACCGCTGTCCAGACCCCAATGGGCGTTACAGGAGCTCGACCAACTGCTCGGAATTCTACGTCTGCGTCTCCGGAAGGCCGGTCAAGTTCAACTGCCCTGCTGGACTCGTCTATAGTGACGTAAGGATCCATTCCTAGATCTCTCGTGATACTCGAATCTCGATCTTTTCGCGATATCCCGTGCGAACCGGATGCTCTGCGCGCTTTTCAAGGACCGGGACGTTCACCCGCCGAGATTTGCACCTACGTGAGGTAGCTTCCAACGCGTGGCGGGTCTTTGTCTACCGTCAGAAAAGTCACTTAGGTAATCTGGAAACTATTCATACTTAATTCCAACGACATGCCTTCACGGAGAAACGTTTCCGGCCGCGGGGATGGAAAAATCGGCGAGCTTAATGGAGGCTGACTCGTCTTGGGGAAGGTTTATGGGGAAAGTCATTAAAGACAGGTATCCTTGCACGGTGGGTAATGGGAGGTGTACAACTAGTCACGATAACGTTGGTACTATAAATAGGATTTAGGTAGAAAATATCATGAATTTATGTAGATTTTTAGCATGTTTTTATTGGGGGTAATGTAACAGAATTTTACATCTTTATTGGAGAAGGTAACGTCAGATCAGGAATATTTAAAAAATAGTTTTATAGCAATTCTTGGAATCGCTCTTTCGTCGTTTTGCTAGTCTAACTTACGTGGTGGAAAGAGGACTTGAAGTGATTTCAGATTCTTATCGACTAGGAGACATTTTGCCGAATACGTGATCGGGTGGTGAAGATTTGGTCGTTATGAGGTAACAGGAACCTTGAAGTTGAAGTCTTCTGACGAATTTCGGGACGTACGGGGATTATCAATGAGATATAAATATTCAGCTAGATCAATTGGCCTTTTCGGAGGTCGGAACGTTCACCCAAAATTTACACCAACGTGAGGTTATTTACAATTCGGGGTGTTTAGGATTTCCTGGTTGCTCTTCAAAAATCGCGAACATTGGTTGGCCTGATAAGTGGCTTAAATTTTTGGTGTCAAAAATATCCTGGATATAGATAAGATTATTTGTACATGTCGCACAAGCCTTAAGACACGGTTTTCCACCGTACGGACAATTTTAGGGAGATAGTACAAAATGGCGATCACGTTGTCACGATCGTGTTAAATTTATCCTGAACACAAGTCGGCTGTTACATATTGATGAGATCCTTGTCTTCGCCGTCAAGTAAACTTCGAAACATAGAAAATACTAAATGAGGAGTGTGCGGTCAAATCAATTAGTCTCCCCAAGGACCGAGACGTTCACCTGCAGATATTTGCACTTACGTGATGCAGATTTCAATACGAAGGATCAAGGAAAATCTCCGCTTCGTTCCGAGAGGTAGCTGGCTCTTCTGGAAAACGAAATATTAACTTTTACAGCCAATAAAGTGCTCTGGAAAAATCAGTTTTGCGAGACCGGATGATTAGTTCGATCTAGATAATCTCGTCCGCGCGATTACGGCGAGTGCTATTTATTGGTATGATAATAAACTTCCCGAGAGGCGTTATCACATGGTGATCACGTCCCCGAGAACGTGTTAAATTTACCCCGACGACACGGCGATCGTTGCATTCCAATGAGAACCTTGACTTTCCCTTCAGACAAATTCCTGAATTAACGAAATTCCACGTGAAGAGCAGATCCTGCCATTGAGAGTGAACTTGATGGAACCACTGTAAAGTGTCTTCAAATTTGAATAATTCTTCTCACGACCTCATTTTGATAAAGAATGTATTAGTCGTATGGTCATGAAATTATTTCAAGATGACTGCGCTTGTATTTTACAATCTGTTATTTTTTATCCGTTGTATTGACGTTTGTAATTTAAGCTACGGAAGTTATGACTTTTTAATTAATGCTGGCATTGATAATAACGATGGCTATATTAATTTTAGGAACTGGGGGTCTGCGACTACCCCTACAAGGTCGATTGTCAAGGCGCAGCAACGCCTCAGCCTGCATCACCAACTGAGGAGTCGAACGCGATAGAAGGACAGACGGAATCTTCGTCCAGTCCTGACGAATCCTCAGGATCGGAGTCATCGAGTCCTTCGGAAGGATCTGAGCCACCTAGTCCTCCACCAGGATCTGAGCCTTCCGGTCCCTCACCAGGATCTCAACCTTCTGCCCCCCCGCCAGGATCTCAGCCTTCTGGTCCCCCACCAGGATCTCAGCCTTCTGGTCCTCCATCAGGATCTCAACCTCCCAATCCCCCGCCAGGATCTCAACCTCCAGGTCCACCTTCGGGATCTCAACCTCCAGGTCCACCTTCGGGATCTCAGCCCTCTTACCCAGGAGCAGGATCTCAGCCATCCTATCCTGGAGCAGGATCTCAACCATCGTACCCTGGAGCAGGATCTCAACCCTCCTACCCTGGAGCAGGATCCCAGCCATCCTACCCTGGAGCGGGATCCCAACCATCCTATCCTGCACCTCAACCCTCGTATCCTGGATCCCAGCCCTCGTATCCTTCGGAATATTTCAGCAACCCTTGGTTACACTCGCAATCCTGGAACAGACACGCGGCAAGGGTAGAGCCTGGAAAGAAGTCACAGAATCAGCAGGAATCTGACCAGGGCAGCTCTGTTGCCGACGCGAATACGTGGAATTACGTAAGAGCCGTCCGGGCTGATCTTCTTAAGGTGCCTTGCGAAGATGGAAATGTACAGATGTTATCGGACTCCTGCAACAGCGTTTTTGTGTGCAGAAATCAACGACCCCAACTGGTTCAGTGTCCGTCTGATCTCATGTACGACGTCCCCTCGGATTCCTGCAAACTCGCCGCTCTGGCAAAATGGTAAGGAAAAGAATCAGAAATATCAGAGAAACCATCCTGATACGTAGATAAAAATAGTCATTCTACCTGTATCTATGATATAGTTCGACTCAACCGGAAACAGTATGTCAAAGAATATTTCAAACTGCCTTTCTTACTGTGGGAGCGGTATTTAAATTAGTAGTCTATCTTACTTTGGTCAGACCAAGTAGTGCCGATGAGCGGCTCAGTAGACGTGGTGGATCAATGACCAGACATTTATGTAGCGTTCAGATTCTTCCTTTCATTACTTTATCTTAAATTTATATTTACCACATTTCCATGCACTGTTCGAAACTTATTGTTCTAAACTTATATTTCTTAATTTCTTTATTAGTTACCAGAAGAAAGGAACGTTTTTACATTTTTTAAGAGTTCTAAAGAATTTTATGGAAGATTCAACTGGGGTCGACCCCAGACTGGCTTGATTGCACTTTTTTATTCGACCAATGGGTTCTACACTAACACACGTATAGAATTAAAGGGCCGGTTCTTGCACGCTAAGATCTTGATTTAACCTTTCCTTCAAAATAATTGGCCAATTTTATAGTTGATTGGGTGATGACGAGGAAGATTCATCTTTTTGCCGGAGGTGAAAGGATTAGAGGCAGGGGAGGTATTTCTTAAGCCCTTCTACTTATCCTTTTCATTTTCTGCTATTAAATTCTCATTCTTCAAGGGATTCCTCCTCATTCGCTTATGTCTGCTTTCGTTAAAATCGAATTAGCGTCCTTTCATTTATGCAAAATGAAAAAAAAAATTAAGCCGATTAGACCTGTTCAAGAGGATGAGAGGTGCGATTTTTATTATACAAAAGTTAATAAGAGCATGGCAAGGATTGCTGACGAGCGTAGCAATTCTATATTTGCAACACAGTGAGGCTGAAAAGCCAACTTTCTTGCGGTTTTCGATTTCTCTCGTGTGCCCTTTAATATCTTTACGTGTTTTGAACTGACAAAGCCAATAGCAAAAAATTACACGTACGAAGTAGGAATTCCACGACAAGAAAAGTCTTTGTCATTCAGTAAGCGTAAGTGCTATTGACTCCATGCTTTAAGGGCATGTTCTCTGAATCTCCACTCACTACGGATTGATATGCAACAACAGAGTCTCGTTTTCAATGGGCATTATTTTTCCCATCCCCTACATTGTTGAGGGAAGTGTGCTCAGAATAAGATTAATTCAAGCAATTCATCACTCGAAGACATTTCCCAAAGTCTCAGAATAATTTGATACCTCTTCGTGACTTCCTTAAAAATATGTTACCATCAGTCGATAAAAAAGGCGTGTGTACAAAAAACTGTCCTTTTCAGTATTAGTTGCATTAAAAAAATACCGTTCTTATTATTAATTATACCGAAACGTTATTTAAAATCTAAGAGACACTTATTCTTACATTAACTTAATATTCGATAGAGGCAATAACAAATGAAATTATTTCTGTTCGCAGTTAATGAAGCCGAGGGAAGCCACCCACTATCAATCAAACATCGGCAAAACCTTCTTGTAGGCCTTTCAAAAGTCTACATGATCGGCGTGCTAATAAACCACACTGATTTTCTTTTTTTTATAAACGAAATCCCAGAAAAACAAGGTGCCAAAACGATTTCGTATCTCGAGAGTAAAACGATACGCGCGTCTCGAGCCTCGCTGTTTGCTCGCGAGATGGCAGCACAATGGCGCCTCTCGTAATTTCTCGCATCACGCGACTCTGGCGGCCTCTACGTTCGTCATTCGCTCATCGCTTCCGACGATTGGCTGCTTCTGATGCATCCTATGCAGCGATTGGCTGCATGCATATACTACTAGAAAAAGATCACCTAACACCATCTCTGCAGTGACGTAAGAAGGAAGAGTGAGACATCACACGTCTCCATTATAATTTAACAGTTTTTTATCCGCAGGATAGTTGACTTTTATTCCCGCTGAAACTCGCTATATCAATTTTCTTCCTTCTTCCGATTCTCAGAATATTTCATCCTGCAATCACTAACTACAACCAAAAATAAGGCAGTAGAAGTCTCGCGAGATGAAACGAAGTGATTCGGAAAAATGTCATGAAAGGGTTCCATTTTATATTCGAACCCGATGTGAGTCCCACGAATGTTCGATAATTACTATAAGTACTTTAAGTGTATACGTCATAAACTCTTTTAAGTATTATATACTTATTTCACTACGTTTAAGCTCGCAATTGACTACATTTAAGAATTAAGTCAAAGTGGTTCTTATTTCGAGCGTTGCCATCTCGTTACTGCAACGTAAGTTGCAGTAACTCAGATTATACGAGGCAGGGCCCTGGAAAGTGATCGTACGGTGTCACAATGGAGAGAGTCCAGCAGAAGTTTACTTGTTCCCTCTCTATCGAATTTGCTTTCGTCAAGCGGAGAAAGGACTGCTCTCCTTAATGGTAATTGTTCTAAGGCTCCACCGAAGAGCCAAAAGCGCGATTTCGCGCCGATTTCCGTCGTTTTTTGAGCCAACTGGAGGAAATTCAAGATGGCGGCCACTCAAGTCCGAGCTTAAGCGAACGGCAGATACCTTTGCGTTCTCCAGAAACTGGAGAACTAATTAATTTCGAGAAAATGCGGTAAGAATCAAAATGGCCTCCTCCTGAAGAAGATTCCTTCCTGTACCTATATATACAAGCAGATGCATTGACAAAATAAATGCATGGGCTTATGTATATGCATGTATGCAGATCCTAAAAATGCAATGTACCTAATATCGATACTAATAATAACTGTAACTATCTGAACATTCAGTATTTTCAATATACTGATTTCACGTCATAGGTAAAAACCATAAAGTTCTTAAAAAAACATCTCAAAAAGCAAGTTGAGGAATATACAAAAATGCCGCGGCATTTCTTGAACGTAAAAAGCATCCATAAGCACAAACTTAATTATAACCTTAATGAAGCTTATTGAATACCTTACGAATAGGGAATACAATTTTGCGTTCAGAAACGGTAAGTATCCATTAATACTGGCAATATTTCTAACGTAGGCGTCAGGCATTTCGTAAAAATTTCTGTCTATAAATATGACCGAAGGCAGTCGATATCAAAAAGATACAACATCGTAGCGTATCTACAGATACCACATCGCGGATGATCGTATCTGTAGATACCGTAGATACTGTAGCACCCGGGGAAAGGTATATGTAACTGGGACAGGGCTGTGGTCGCATCTCTCTCGTCGAAACGAGCGAGAGTCTGCGAGCCGCGACGCCACCTCCATACTCGATTCGATTCTCCCAGGGCAAACGATATTTCTCTCTCGATTTCTTTCCCTCCTCTCCGTCTTCCTCCGTCCTTTTTCCTCTCTCCCAGGGCGCAGGAAAAGAAAAGTTGAGGCCACACGCCGGGGCAGCGGAGACCGCGACTTTTTCCCAGGCCATTCACGCTTTTGCCCGCCCAGCGGAGAGAAAGAATTCTTTATGAAGCTTATGTGAAACCTGGCGGACTCTCGGGACCTGTATTGCGAGTAAACGTAATGAGCATAAACACATGAATTTTTAATCTAAAACTAAACAGGTTTCGGTTACACCAACATAACACTCGGTGAGTGACGGCGTGTCCTTTTACATCCAAAAGATCAGGATTCATTGATCGACATCCTTTTTCTAGGGAAAAATGGGAAGCTGCTGATGTGTCGCTAGGTCGCATGTGGTTAGAGGACAAGAATTGTGCGTCAAACTATCGGTCACCGAGGTGTTAGAACACCTGAGCAATCCGCAATGTCGGTATATCCGATATCCCTACGAGTTCGACGAAGGTGTTTAGTTTCACAAAATTCTCCCTGGGAGGCGCTGGCGGTGCGCGAGATTTTCGCCTTGGTTTTGAGAGAGCCTTAAGTCGCTCGAAATTTCAAACCGTCTTTATGTTTCCAAAGGCGGCTGCGGATAAGAAAAGCCGAAGGCACATGTCGAAGAATCGCCGACCGCGAGTTTCTCTCATACCATTCACGCTTTTGTCCTCCCGAACGATCGAGGGAAAGAGAAAGAGAATTAAGCTCGACCGTGCAACCGAGCGAGCCGGAATGTTCTCGGCGATCGTTCGTATTTCGCTCTTACGAGCAACTCAAATTGCTGGGATTACGTGGATTGCTGGGAGCGATGCAGGATGCCCCAATTCTACGCTAGACTGTCACTCGGTGCAGACGGAGAGGGAGGAATCGATTTCATTTATAAATCCATCATTAGTCTGTGTTGAAACGTTGATTTTAAGCGTCTCGTAGTGTCTCGAAAGACTTCTACGACATCAGACCTGATACCAAGATGGCCGCCCCATACGCCCCGTCATGATTCCCTGGTGAACTTACAATGAATTTAAATATACTTTTACATTTAGATAATTGTTTTATAGAAGAACATCACGGCATCTCGTAGACTCCTGTGACGTTGGATCTGGTACCAAAATGGCCGCCACCCGCGCCCCTCGTTTCCCTGGTAAACGCTCACAATTTATTCATTCATACTTTTACGTTCAGATAATTATTCAACTTAATAATAGGTATTTCCATAATCCTACATAATATTCCCTTGCTTTGGATAAGCATCTTCTAAGCAGTGATATTTATTACAGATGCTGCGCCGACGTGTAGGACCTTGTGAACGTAGTTCTAAATTATTTATACTCTTGTTAATCGCGAAGGACTGTATCGGGTAAACTTGATTAAGACTATTGTTCTGACGGCGGACATACTTTCGAAATCGATTACTTTTTCTAGAGGCGGTTTCGCATCACTTCAAGCACGCCACTGCGTTCCGGAGCGAACCGGACAGACGCAGGTCGTTCAGCAAAGTGATATCACTTTCCCGGCTTTCTTAGCTGCCACGCCCGAGTCCCCCCCCGCACACTTTTGAAGAAACTTGGAAAGTGGCCGGTCCTCCAGGAAACGCGGAGGAAAATCAAAACGGCCGATCACGCGCACGAATCTCGCCGAACGGAAGAATTTCGCGATACCGGATATCTACGTCTAATTAGCCGTTGATCGTGCGACGTATACCAACCACGATCCACCGGATCTAGATCTGTTTCTTACAGCCAATAAGTATCCCAAGTTGCAAAAACAATGTGGAATTCAGTTCTACACGATCGCTATCAATCTTCACTTTCTAATTGCTCCTACAACCTGCCAACCCTGGCTTAACAAGATATCGCTATAAATAAAAATTCCACCCATAAATACCCAATGCGTAACCTCGTATCTCTTCCAGTATGCAAACCGAATGATCTTCAAAATCGTAAATGTAAAGTATCCAATTAATCAGGAAACTCGGTAGAGTTTCGCATCAAGTGCATATAAGTAACATGCTCGACCGACACCCAGTACTTGACACCAAATTTCGGATTTCTAATTTACTCGATCATTTATTTTGATGCCATGTTAAAATACAGTAAATTTGTATTTTCTCTGTAATA